GTCAACATTTTTGTAATTTTCCAAGGAGTTAAAATATTTTTTTAAATTTCTGAGTGGGTAGGAGGAAGGTATACCTGTTGACGAAAATTTCTGAGGGGGTGGTAAATAATTCCCAAAAATTACTGAGGGGTCTATCACAGTGGAACCACGTCAACAGTTATTTCTAAGGGCTTGAGAAAAATGGCGAATTGGGTCATTCCCCGACTGCATTCCAGGCCCCTCCCGCCAAAGATCTTTGGTGGGAAAAAACTTTACTGACTTTTGGCGGTGTATTTTGGCGTAAATTTTAGCTCATCACTATTTTTGGCGGCGTGCATTCTAGAAGAATGGCGGATACACAAGCTGCATGTATAAATGGTGTTAATATACCAATGAATAATTAATGTTTGAATAATATTTCATTATTTTTTTCTTAACTTCTTTATAACTTTTTCTACTTGCACTGTGCAATACAGCTTTAAAGTACTGACAATTGATTTGAATTAATGATATTACCCATACTTTTCTGCAACTTTTCCAAATATATAGTTCATTAAATACACCTTCGGCCATTTAGTACTATGAAATTGTAAACAAATTGTAAATTTCGACTTACTAAAACGCTGTTTTCTGACCATCAGAATTCTATCAAATCTTCCCCAAAGTCCAGGAAATGGGATTTCAAGGCTCGAAATTTAAAAATTTGCTCAATTGTTTTCAGCTCCACTCCCAATCAAAAACAACTTCCTACGGCATTATCAACATACAAATATTCAGCATTCCCATAATTATATTGTTTATGAACTGTCTGTCGAAGTTGTCAATATAAGATGAGATTTTTGCACCTTTTTTATTTTTTAAATTTTTTTAAAGATGTGATTTTTGCACCTTTGGCGCACGTAACTTGGCCGCTTTAGATATAATTAGTCTTTGGCGGATATAGTTTTAAAGCTGAATTTCTGGTGTGAATCTTTGGCGGTGAGAAAAGGTGGAATGCAGTCGGGTGTCATTCCAGCATCCATACCACCCCCACAGAGGAAATAGGAAGTTAACCCCCCTACCCCCTTCGGATGTCCTAATACATTTACTATTATCAGAAACAATTTTTTCTCCCCTCCCTCTCCAGATGGCAGAAATTTCCTCAGTGTGGGACAGGCCTCGAATTTCCCTGAAATCAATCGACGGCAATGGCGTTAAAAATTGCCGTAGAACGTAACAGCTGTCTGCGACAATTTTGACAGTTTCCATGGCATTTTTCAAATTACTGTAATAAAACTTTAATTTCATTGTTACTTTGGATTTTTGACAAGCTAGAAACATGTCTACGTATTTCTTTAGTGTTTTTTTTTCGAAGAAAACTGAGA